GCCCTCGGTCCGTCCCGGTTTCCATGATCCCTCCTGCTGCCGGAGGCAGAACATCGGATGGCGTGGACCTGATAACTCCCGGGTGATTTATATCGAACTAGTTAACTTGTACAGTTATCAAGTGTGTTCCCTCTCCTGAGGGTGACTCTGTGCCCTGTTTCTGTGTTCGGTCTTTTCCATAGCTGGGTAGAACTGCATGCGGCAGCCCACCGCGAACGGGAGTTGCTGTATCTTCGTGTCCTTACATGTAGCTTTGTTTTCCATCAGTTTTGGTGGATAATCAATGCACCAGCTACAAGAGAAGTCACTGACTTGTAAGGGAAGGACAAGAGGAACTTTGCTTCTGAAAGGAGACAGAAGCGTTACACGCAGCTTGTTTCCTTCTGGAGAGACTGTTGGCAGAGACACAGCTGTGGGATGGCTGCAGCCTTAGGGATGGTTCAAGCAGGAGGTGGCTTATCCTTGCTTTAATATAAACAAAATCCTGTCAAATTGTACCCAAGTTATTGGCATTAAATGTTAAAAACACCTGGTGTTATAAACCAGTAAAATCTCACAGCAAAACAGGGATTCCAGGCTCAGGTGGGCTTGGAATGGAGAAATCTTCTTTCTGCGAAAGGAGAATTTCTTCAAATAACCTGAGTGGATTTTGTAACAGGTAGCTCAAAGTGATGTGCAAGCAAGTTTTGAGCAACCTGGTGAGAAAAACATAACCTGATAAGTAACTGTTTCTTATCATTGATGAGCCAGTTGCTGTGTAACAATTTAAGTTATAAATGCAGGCAGATATTGCTGATTTTTTCAATGGCTGAAGTTAGGAATTACTTTGTTTTCCAGCGTGCTTGTTGATAAGACTGTGCTAATGTGCATAAATTACACTCTTTTTGCTCTGGTTTCAGCTATAACAGCTATCTTTCTCCTTCCCAGTAGCTAGTGCAGTGCTGTGTTTGGGCTTTAGTCTGAGAACAATGCTGATAACACACCAATGGTTTAGTTGTTGCTCAGCAGCACTTACCCCAATCAAGGACTTTTCAGTCTCATGCTCTGCCAGTGAGGAAGCCAGGCTTTTCCGTCCCGTGCCCTGCCAGTGAGAAGGCCAGGAGGGAGCAGAGGCAGGACACCTGACCCAAACTAGCCAAAGGGGTATTCCATACCACAGCACATCATGCCCAGTGTAGAAACTGGGGGGAGTCATCCAGAAGGCCCAGATCACTGCTTGGGTTGGGCTGGGTATCACTTGGCAGCTGGTGAGCAATTGTATTGGGCACCACTTGTGTTTATTTGGGTTTTTTTTCCTTTTCTCTTTTATATTCTCTCCCATTGTTATTTCCCTCATCATTATCATTATTATTAGTAGTATTTTTGTATTATACTTTAGTTATTGGGCTGTTCTTATCTCAACCCGTGGAGTTTACATTCTTTCGATTCTTCTCCCCATCCTGCCCACTTGAGGTGTGAGCAAGCAGCTGCTGGTGCTGAGTTACTGGCAGGGTTTAAACCACGACACTGTTGTATTCTTGCCCACTACTTCTCTAAGGACAGAAAAAGGGGGGATTTGAGACAAGGAAGTACCAAATGAAATATAATCCTTTGTAAAATAAGAAAATTAAGTTTTAAGTAACTTTAAGTTTGGTGGCTCTGTACATAACAACAAAACTTTCCAAACCTAAAAGCCCAACTAAAAGAGCATAAAAGGATCCTTGTATAAGATAAATCGTTGTAGCTGACAGTTTTAGGACCTTATGACCTTCGGACAAAATTTATTGTAACCAAAACAAGACTGTAGCTAAGGAGTATCTGAAACCAGCAGATGTTCAGGAGGTGCTGTAGCGAAGTTAACTGATAAGTAGAAGGACGAGGAGAAATCACTCACTTCTGTCAGTGGTGTTACCAAACTAATTAAGCTGGTGTAAGCATTTATCTACTGCGCGTGCTTCAAAGACTTCCAGAACAAGGGTTCAAGGAACGGGCAAGTGATGAAGATCATTGGAAGAAGTAAAACGACCACCAAAGACCACTACCACGTTGTTATGCGTATGCGAAAATAGGCGTGGAATTATGTAAAACAACTCTCGGACAACTAATGCATATGTATGACATCTATCGGAAATGTAATGAATATGTATGTTAAGCAACAATATAATCACGGTCTGTTTGATGGTTAAAAGAGACACACATAGGAGAAGATACCCCCTGTGTCTCCCAGCGCTGCAATAAAGAATACCTGCTTGTCAACTTAAACTTTGTTGGCGAGTTCTTAACGAGTTCTACAAATCACAGCTGACCCCCAAAGACATTTCCAGCCCTTTGGTTGGCACTGATGCAGGACCGTTTGTGTACCAAGATCAGAATAATTCTGCTCTTTCAGCACATTGGCATGCTTGCTGTCTTCCAGCCCTTCAGAAAGAAAAGGGAGCTTCCCTTCCTTTCAGCAAGCTTGTGTGCAAATTAATCAGGCTAACTGAAGTTGCTTATCGCTGTTAGATGTTAATTTAGCATCCTCTCTAGCTACTGAGGAACAGTGAGCGTGGTGCAGAGGTACTTCATGTCAGCTTTGGCCTGGCAGAGCTTCTTGGTGCTGGTTTTGCAATGCTACCCCTGACCTACTGCCTGTATTGTACTCCATAGCATGTGCTGCACCCGTGAAGCAGAGCAGCCCAACTCTCTGTTGATAAAAGCTCATCCTGGCTCTGTGGCAAGCAAAAAGCAACAACTAATAATCCAACAAAAACTGGAAAAAAAAAAAAAAGGAGAAACAGCTACTGAGCTGTAGCTGTTGTGCAAAGAGGAATCATAAACACCAGGAGTTTTCCAGGATACGTTTTTTAACTCATCTTTGTAGTTAAATCTTGCTTTCTCCTGCCAGAAGTCCAGACATTGTAGGCAGCTGAATAATCAAGCTGCTTCCTGCATGGATGTCCTGCACACATACCTTTCTGTTCTGTTCCTCTAGCAACAGTCTGCTTTATACTTGTGTTGTGGACTAACTCCTGCTTCTTTTCCCCTTTTAGTCATTAGATTATCCACTTTCTAGTCTTGCCACTTCCTTTGTTGCTGACAAAGGAGCCTCTGTTTTCTTGGATGCTGTGTTGTACTACATTGTGGTTCCAGACCATATGCTCCCATGGGGCTGCCCACTCTCACTACACTTCTCCACACCAGCTGGAAGGAAAATGTGGCCTATGCGAGATGGTTGAAAACATTTGTTCTGCTGTCACCCCTAACAGCATTCTGACATGAACATGTCCCCAGACCACAGAGTATCGTGCTCCATCTCCAAACTACCACCAAAATACCCTCTTTTCTCTTTTTACTCAGTTTAGGTCTAGATCCATTCAAAGACTGACAAAACCTGTAGGTTTTTGTAGATCACAAATCCCCTGTGTGGAGAAAAGTCTCTCCTCAGATGTGTTGTCATTTGAATCTCTCCAACTTTTTCTCCACCTTGAAGCATATCACCAGGGCCAGGGCTAAGTCACAGTATTTTTGAATCACATATTTTTTGTCTTCCATTTTTTTATTTCTGTAGATGAATATCTGCAATAAACCTCCTAATAAGACAGCTCCAGAGAATTTGGGTGAAGCTGTTCCTGAGGTGCAGGTCCAACGTGCTCGAAGGAATGGCTGGAGCTGGCCTCTGCACCTCTTCCAGATTACTGGATGGTTGCTGTGCCTCTTCTTTGCACTGGTTGGCTTTGGAATCCTGGTTCCTCTCCTGCCTCGCCACTGGCTGCCTGCTGGTTATATCGTATCCTTTGATCAAGAGGAGGACATGGACTGTAATAAACTATCAGTTGTTAGGTAGCATAGAAAGCATAGGAGAAAGCAGCTGAGCCAGAGTCTTTTTCTAATTATAATCATAATCTTGATCATCTGTTTATAAAAAACAGTTATTTTAAGATCCTCTCTTCTTCTCAAATTCAGGTGGGTCACTGATGTCCTACTTTTCTTCATCACTCCTGTCTTTGCCTCCAAGGCTTTTCTGCTGTCTGCTTCTACCTGTGCATCTCCTTTGCTTTATATTATTCTTCTACAAATGCGATGCAGGGTTTGAGGGAATTCCTACTAAGAAAGTCCCTCCTGAAACATCTTTGCTGCCGTGGGCAGCCACGCCTCCCTGTGCTGACGGCATGAGTCTGGAAAGGCAGCTTTGTATGTTTATGTTTATATGGCATGGTTTCTTGTGATGGCTGGCAGTTAATCTTCTCCCTCGGCCCTCCTCTCCTGTCTTCTGTAGAAAACGTGTGAGTGACAGACGAGGTGGTGTAGTGTGAACCTCAAAGGAGAGGTCTGTCTGTCTTGAGCAGCAGTGGCATATATGTCTAACTGCCTTCTAAATGTGAGCTGTATCAGAAGATGATACTATGAAGGCATCTTGTCTCATGTGCTGCCCAGCAAAGCCTACCTCAGCTCAGCCCAATGTGTTTCCCACCTCCTGTCTGCTGCCCGCCTCCCTAGAGCTGTGTGAGCTTGCCACAGTTGGGACTGGAGAGGGGGTGTGCTGGGAGCAACCCCAGTGCTCCCAGTACCACCGTGTACTGTTGCCTGTGTGCAAAAAGGGAATGTCCTCAAGGCCAGGCCTTGGATCCTCATGGATTAGATTGTCTGGGGAGTGGTAGACTGGAAGAGTGTAGCCTGAGATCTTAATTTAGTGCTTAAATTGTGAGCAAGTGTTTGCTTTTGTCATCTTCCTGGTGGAAATAAAACGAAATGGTTCAGTGTCACTTAGTGCTTTCTTAGCAGAACCAGATGACCAAGATGTATTACAGAGAGAATGTTGGGAAAAGTTCTGAAGAGATGGAATATGCACTTACATCATTTATACCTCTGATTTATGTACATCCATGGAGCCTTTGATGTATTTGGGATGCTTTTGCTTACCATTGTTTTAGATACACCTGTGTGATTTAGGCATTAATATCATTAACTTACAATGGTCTTATGTCTACTTACCTTACCCAAATCCTTGGTATTATCACAGTTCAAACCTTGTGAGTTTGTTTACCAGATATCTTCATAAATCAATCTAAAGTCACTCAAATTCAACAGATTCATGTATCCCAAAGTTTTACTACCAGTTAACAAAGCACTAATGTCTCTTCTGTGTCTAAGGCAAATCCCTTCCCATTCTTCAACCAGTCATCAAAGCTCCAGGTTGCTATACCTCTCAAGGACCTTTTTTACCTTAATCCACTGCTCTGTTTCCATAGGCCTTAGTAAAGCTGAGTTCACCTCCAGTGTGAGGTGTCCCTGCCCATGGTAGGGGGTTGGAAATAGATGATCTTAAGCTTCTTTCCAATCCAAACCAGTCTGGGATTCTATGTGCACTTCTGGGTGTAGAACAAATAAATCAGAAAGTTAATTTTTGTACAAACACTCATTTAGATGCAGTATATTGAGAAGCAAACTCTCGAGTGTGGTCGTGGTACTCCAGGCACGCAGGGTGGCTGCTGTGTGTGTGTATATTCTTACATATTTGTATATTCTTTCCAAGTATCAGCAGTTATGTTAGGTGTCTGATCCAAAGTGTTGCTCTGACTGGCTACATTTGGAAATAAGAATCCAAGCAGGTTATGTTTCAAGGAACAGTGACAAATCCTGGATCCTGTCTATCTGTAAATTGTGTAGGAGCCTACTTAAGGGGGTGATCCCCTTCCTTGGGATTCTGACTAAGGAAAAGGAAAAAAGGATCCTTTTCTGGAAGTTTGGTCTCATGAAGGGGCCTGTGCATGGCCTTAACTGGCTGTTCCTTTCCAAAGAGTCTGTATGGGCCAAAGAAACATGGATCTGTGTCAACAGTCTGCATGTGGGGTCAGATTCTGGTAAGTAAAGGTACTTTTTAAAAACTCCTTTACTTTAAAAAGGAGTTTTACTGTAAAACTTTAAAAAGGAAACATATTCATGGCAAGGGGGTTGGAACTAGATGATCTTAAGATCCTTTCCAACCCTAACTATTCTGTGATTCTATGATTCTGTGAGGCAGAGTAGTATGTAATAAGGAGGGTTGTTTCTGCAGATTTAGTTATCTTTTTCGAGTGGATATTTATTACAGTGCAAACATCTCTGTAAGGAAAGCTCAGATTAATATACTACCACCAGTTATATAGCGATTTCTAATTTCAAGCCATATATTTCTCATCTCTGTGGGCTTTGTGTATTGAGGATAAAAACAGATGCATTAACTCACTCATATAATCCTTAACTGTGTTACCTTCAGTGTCCAGGAGTGTGTTTTATCTACCATTTAGTTGTTCATCTTACTGCAGTCTCCATTGATCCTGCGGATGCAAACGTACGAGCAAAAAATTATCTGGGGCCTCTGGCCACCTTCAGTCGTAATCAGCATGCACATGTCATTGAAAACCATCATTGCCATGTCTGTGATGTAAATGTGTAAGTACCTTCTCTTTTCCTTTTTACTTCTACTACTCTCTCTTTCTCACCATTACGTCTCACTGTTAGTCTTTAATGTTAGACTGTAAGATTGAAATTGAGCCCCTGCAGCTGAATAATGCATGTTAAGCTTAATTCTGTGGCAGGTTTGGTTTCTTGGGAGGGTGCCTGGTGTCAAATGTGTGCCTGGGTCTGTGTTGTATCTAATTGCTCATGTGTTGTGTTGTGAGGGCTATACTGGTCCATGTTATCTGTGTGTTGGTGCTTGACCTAATGACATGTGACTTCTATGTGTGTGTGCTTTTATCTTATATGAGGAGGAAATGCTCAGAGGGCAGACATTAAGATCAAGCTTTATGGGAAGCTTGAACAGCAAAAGGGTTTCAAGTAAGAAATCAATGATCTCCAAATTAGAAATCACCCTGTGCACTGGAAGGCAAAACTTGCAGTGTTTGGGATTGTGGTCCAATGATGGCTGATATGTTTGGGTGTTGAAGTACTCCTGATGTTGTAGGTTTTCTTACTATTACCAGGATCATTACTGCTGTATCCACTTGTATTTATGTCACTGGCAAGTCATGGTCATGAGCTGGTGCTACCATGCTAATGCCACCCCTTCTTTGGCAGGGGTGTCAAGTCAAAGCACTGTGGAACTTGCAACAAGTGTGTGTGTGGCTTTGATCACCACTGCAAATGGCTCAACAACTGTGTGGGAGAGAGGAATTACTGGTAAGAGCCTGGCATTGGGACTGGAGCACAATGCTGCGTCAATAATGTCACCCCTCCTCTTCCCAAGATTCTCTTGCATGTCAGTCCTATCTGGACTCAGCCACACAGAACCACTTTTCTTTCAGAAGTAAATAAAATCAGTCATGAGAAAACTAGATGGAAAATGTAAATGTGATTATGACATTTAAGTCACCAGGGATGAAACTCCTACACATAGAATTGTTGTAACTGAATGTCTACAAATGAAAACAGAGGATGTAATCTTATTTGGTAACAGGAAAAGCTTATGGTATGTTGTTTGGGTTTCCTTCATGCTTCTGAAAGCCAGAGTGAGAATAGAACCATGTTCCCATCTCTGATACAACCTGCATACAAGACTTGCCAATTGGCAGGAGTTACAGCAGCATATAGGCACCTCTAGTCTGTGCCATGTTTAAGATGAAGAACGAGGAGGCTATCACTGGTTATTGTTTCCCAGTTTACTTTCCTGCCCTAAAACCATGTGGAAAGCAAAGAGTTGTTATGGCTGGGTGCCATGTTACGCTGCCTTCAGATTTTGTGCAGGGAGGTCTTCATCTTCATCCTAAATACACATGACTGGTTTGTAACCATGGTTGCTCTAAAGGCTTACAGTTTAGTTCCTCAGGGTAACAAACCAGAAGTAAGGCTGTTAACCAGGATCTATCGTGAGTGCAAGAAGTGTCACAGCAATTTGGGATAGCTGTCTATATCCCCCTTTTTATTAGAGCCTGGGATTTTGTAATTGTATGTGTGATGTAATTGAGGCCACTCAGAGTTCTCACTTTCTTGGCAGGCTCTTTTTGAATAGTGTCCTCTCTGCCATCCTGGGCCTTGGGCTTCTGCTGCTCATCGCTTGCTACGTCTTTGCGGAGTTCTTCATTGACCCCATGGTGCTTCGGTCCAACCAGCACTTTGATGGTACTATCAGTGCTTCAAACTGTGAATCAGCCAGCATATCTCAATATGGCATTGGATTCTGTGGGCTCTTCCCCTGAGGAGAAACTCCATTCCATACTCCTTCAATTTTGTATTTAGAATCATGGAATGGTTTAGGTTGGAAAGGACCTTAATATCATCTAGTTCCAACCCCCTGCCACAGACAGGGACACCTTCCACTAGACCAGGTTCATCCAAGTCCTGTCCAGCCCAGCCTTGAACGCTGCCAGGGATGGGGCAACCACAGCTTCCTTGGGCAGCCTGTGCCAGCACCTCACCACTCTCACAGTAAAGAATTTCTCCCTTATATCTAACCTAAATCTCCCTTGTTTCAGTTTGAACCCATTATCCCTTGTCCTATTGCTGCAGTACCTGATGAAGAGTCCCTCTCTGACATCCTTGTAGGCCCCCTTCAGATACTGCAAGGCTGCTATGAGGTGTCCATGCAGAACAGCCATTAACTCCAGGCTGAACAGCCCCAGTTTTCTGAGCCTGTCTTCATACGGGAGGTGCTCCAGCCCCTGATCATCCTCATGGCCTCCTCTGGACTTGCTCCAGCACCTCCATGTCCTTATGCTGAGGACACCAGAACTGTACACAGTGCTCCAAGTGGGGTCTCATGAGAGCAGAGTATCTCTGTGAAGATCTTTCCTTACAGAGTTAACTGCTCTCCTGAAGGCCTTGGAGATACAAGATCTCTGAGGCCTCCAGTGCCTAATGGGTCTGCAGCTACTTTTGAGTTAATATTTCTAGCTGTAAAGTTTAGTTAGGGGTATGTAATACCTGGACAATCTATCTACTTCAGACTCTTTTGTTTTGCAGCTCTGAAGAACCAAACGGATCGCTGGTTTGTGTTTCTTCCTGCAGCTCCAGTTGAGACTCGGGCACCTGCAATTTTGATCATAACTGGGATTTTTATTCTTCTGAGCCTAATGACTGTTGTCCTGCTAGGTCACCTCCTGATCTTTCACATCTATCTCAGTAGGTACTATTTCCTGTCATCTTCATCCCCATTTAATTTTCGCTTATCTGCTTCTCATTCTGCATTCACTGTGTGTTCACCCATGTCACAAATATATAGGTTATGCAAGATTGCCACTGAAAAGGTAGAAAATTCAGGTTTAACATGATCCTTCTGATTTTCCCTCCGTACCAGGTTGGCTTATCAGTGCTTGTGTAATATGGGGCTTGTGTTGGGCCTGTGAATTCATGTGTCTGAGCATCTTTCTTGGAAATGAAAGCATGGGGGAGAGTAGTAGAGAGGCCAGGTGGGATGAATTAGTTAATTCCAGCTCAGTGCTGGCAATGGCAGATTCAGATTGGCTCCACATATGGGCTTTTGTGAGTCTCTTCACTGTGCTCCCCAGCACTTCCGTTGTGTGAGAGAGATGGTTTCTCCATTACCGCAGATAAATGTGGACAGTTGATCTAAATTCCTAATAGAAAGTCTGATGTCCAGATCAAGGACCCTTTATGGAAGTTGTACCATATTGACACAAAAGAGTTGTGGAATTCAGAGGAGGAGCTTTTCAGAAAGGCTCCTCATTAGATTGCCTACTTGTTGCTCTGTCAAGAAGGGATCTTTATGTTTGTTTATCTACACATGGGCATCAACCCCCTTTTTTTCAGCCATTGTCTAAAATGAAGCCAAAGCTATTTGGTTGCCTGATGTAAGTCAAAATGAGAAATGATCTTATACTTGCAGTAGTCAGTGGTGCCAAAACTAGGGAAGAAGGGATGTGGTGGAAAAGAGACGAGGACAGCGGTTACAGAGCATCTTTGGCTGGATTTTTGGGTTGTCAGTTAACAGCAATGATGATGCCAACACAAACTAGGTCATTACAAACCAGTGCAGCTCCAGAAGCTTGGTGTTTGATGGGTGAGTGTTCCTCAGCTGGCATTAACAATACCCTCAGTGAGTTCATTGGCCATCATTTTCCTTTTAGAGCCTCTTTGAGCTTAACTTAAATTTGGTCACGCTGTGATTTTGCTTTCTGGGTGGAATTGGAAGTTGACTTTGAAATCTCCAGGCATTGCCATTAACCCAGCAAACGTTGATCTAGCACTGTAGAAAGACTACAAGTATAACAAAACTGGGGCCACTCCAGGATGGTTTCTTTTGGGTGGAAAAGAAAGGATTATTCGGTTTCGTACGAAGCCGTATTTATCCTGTCTTTGTGTACAACTTCCACAGGAGGGTGCTCCCTCCTTGGGATAAAGACATTCCAGTGTCAAACTGAAACGTGCTTGTGTTACACTGGTTCTACTCGGGGCTTGGGGGATTTTTTTGTTGCTCTTGTCTTGCTTTTTTTTTTTTTTTTTCTCCCCCAGAATAAATTTTGAACCAGATTAACTTTTATTTCTGGCCCAATTTTGAATCTTTATAACTTACATGGAAACAGAATTTAATTGTTAATTTTTGTCGACATTTTATTACACTAAAACCTGCTACCCTATTGAAATGGGTTCCAGCTGTGTAGAAGTACAGTGTGTAAGCCCTTGCTTAAAAGGGAAGATGTTACCCTACTGAAGCCTATATTGTGTATAACATCTGAGTGTGCACTACTCTTACAATAGGGATTTAGGGAGATAGATGGAGTATGTCTGGTTCACTCCTGTAGTTGTCAATGGTCTCATGTGAATGCATTAAGATAGACAGTGTTAGAATGAACTGTCTAACCTCTTTGGGGTCTTTAATTACATTTTTATTGGTAAACTGTATTTATGTTCATGAGTATTTCTTCATTAACCTTTAAAAAAAATTACAGAAAGAATATGGCACCCCTGTGAGTGGTATTGCCTTTTATCTTCACAAAAAAACCCTGACTTAAGTTAGGTATGGCTATGAACATTTTAGAATCTGGTTCTGTTACAAGCACAGTGAGGTTTTCCAAGTTTCTGTCCTGATTTTAATTACTCACCGCTGTCACTCAAAAGGAAGGAAGTTATTCTCAGAACAGTAGGTCTTAATTGTGACTCACTTCTAGAGGCATTCAGTGAAGCTGGGCACTTCAGAAGTTTGGAAGGAGGATATATTTTTGTCTTCAATACTGAGAGGCCAATAGTAAGCAGAATACAAAATAAAAATAGTAGGGAATATAGGAAAGGAAAGGCTATGGGGCTGTTCACAGGCCACGTTTTAAGCTAAAAGAGGGGAGATTCAGGCTGGATGTGAGGAAGAAATTTTGAACAATGAGGGTGGTGAGACGCTGGCCCAGGTTGCCCAGAGAGGTGGTGGATGCCCCATCCTTGGAGACAGTGAAGACCAGGCTGGATGTAGTTTTGGGCAACCTGATCTAGTGGAAGATGTCCCTGCTCCCTGCAGGTGGTTAGACTAGGTGAGCTTTGAAGGTGGCTTCCAACCCAAACTGTTCTGTGATTCTATGATTATTGCACAGGATGTGCTGCAGTGTTACCTGGCCAGACAAATATAGTATTTTTTTAACTAGTTAGCTTGATTAAAATATTATAAAAGTTACACTGTTAAATATTCAGAAATCAGCAAACCCTGAATTAAAAATGGTTTATAGCCCTTTGCTTATGAAGCAATATTCTTAAACTTACCATGCCCCAGCAGTGTGCATTTGCATCCCAGAACCCAATGTGTGCTGGGCTGCATCCCCAGAGCGTGGGCAGCAGGCTGAGGGAGGGGATTCTACCTCTGTGTTCCTCTCTGAGGAGGCCCCCCCTTACAGTCCTGCCTCCAGCTCTGGGGCAACAACACAAGAGGGACATGGAGGTGTTGAAGCAAGTCCAGAGGAGGCCACGGAGATGCTGCAAGGGCTGGAGCAGCTCTGCTCTGTAGACAGACTGAGAGAGCCTGGAGAAGAGAAGGCTCCAGGGAGACCTTAGAGCAGCTCCAGTGCCTAAAGGGGCTACAAAAAACCTGGAGAAGGACTTTGGACAAGGGCCTGTAGGGACAGGACAAGGGGGAATGGCTTTAACCTGACAGAGGGGACACCGAGATGAGATCTTGGGAAGAAGTTCTTCCCTGTGAGGGTGCTGGGGCCCTGGCACAGGTTGCCCAGAGAAGCTGTGGCTGCCCCATCCCTGGCAGTGTTTTCCCATTTCCCTATGAAGTAGTCCTGTGTTTAGGGCATGGTTTTGAGAGGTCAGATATTACTGATACAAGTGTCCATGCAGAGGAAGGATTTTAGTCTGGCTGTTCTACATCCTAGGCATCTGCTGTAACTGCTATGCCTCTGTAAAAAGGAAGAATGACTTCCAGGCTGTGCACTAAAAATCTTCAGCATCCATTTTTTTTGCTCTAAAAATACTTACCATAACAGGGTCATAGGAGGAATGTCTGAGTTTTGGGTCTTTTTTAACATTTTGGGTCTTGTGAGGAAACCAAGCTGCTCGGAAATGTCATATGCTTTTGGTCATTCATGGAAGCAGTTTGGGGGGACAGATCTTAAGAGCACATAAACTCAGGCACATATAAACTCTTGGTACATCTATTTGGCATGTGGCAAGCTGTGCATTTGATGCTCGCTGTTTTGGACATCAAGTGTATCAATCTTCTCTACAGGACACGCTAACCTCCTGAATTTCTTTTCTCCATTTAGCATTACATACCTTCTGACTGCTCACTGATCTTTCTGTACAATACAGATCTTACTCTTACTGGGTATGGATAAAGGATTTCCTCTGAAATGAGCGGAACAAATTGTGACAGTATAGGAGGCTGTGCCGTGTATTTGAGACTTCAGAAGAATAGTAGGACCGTGAGAAAGTGTTGTGATGGTGACAGTAAAAGATGTATAGTGCAAAGGTACTTCTGGCTTAGAGTATCAGTCATTTCATGTTTATAGTTACTATTTGATTGTGTATTTTTTTAGACTGTTGGTGTAAGTGTCTTTAGGGAGTGGCCTCTCCTGTGCTGACAGCTCTTTCTTTCCTCCCAGTGTGGAACAAACTGACTACGTATGAGTACATCCTGCAGCACCGTTTCCGGCAAGATGTGGAAGAGGTAGACAATCAACAGGAGTCTGGTTCCTACCAGGTGAGATCCAGTCAGGTACTTGTACTTTCAGTCCATTTCCCAAAACCAGCCTTGCTTATCTGCAGTGTAAAGTTTGCTTCACTTTTGTGAGCTCCAAACTTCAGAGGCAGTTGCTAGAGATGAAACTTTAGAGGTCCTTCAGTGGAGTTGAGTAGGATGTGAGAAAGTGTAAGGCCTGTAACTCGGTGAATGCTTTAGGCATAAGCAAGTACTGCTTTCAAAGGAATCAATCCCACCCAGTCTCTTCTTCCACCACTTGTTTTGGGCCCTGCACTATCTGTTCTCTTCTGCCAGCACAGCTGTTTGGTACAGTCATGCTGTGAACAGGGTGGGGGAACTCAGCTGGGTAAGAATAAACTTCATATAAAAGATGGTTGAGCTCATGTTTAGCTGGCCCTGCTCCCTCCCACTCAGTTCACCAAACAGTCACAGAAATGCCTGTATCAGCACAAATGAGGATGACTGAAGAGTGGGAAGGGTCCTGGCCCTGGGAAGGACAGCACCATCTGTTTGGATGGCAGTGCAATTTTTACTGGCCTTTGGGGGCGGAATCACAGGTCATCACTGCAAGTGAGATAGGCTCCAAGCCTGGAGAAACAGGGACTAATCATCAAGCAGATAATAATACCAATGGCTTAATCACCTTGTAAAGGAAAAGGACACCAGCTGTGGTCAGAAATGAGCCAGATTCCTGCTCTTCCTTGATTTGAGTCTACATAGTGATAAGGGTACTTGTGAGTACCCTGCTGTTGATCTGTAGCTCTGTTAAGAATGCTACAAGCTTTCTACAAGTTCTACAGCCTCAACTTTACAGAGGCATATACCACTAGGAACTGAGATGTTCAGTGTAATTTGTTTTGCTGCAAGGCAGCTTTATTCTGGAGTTACTCAAAATGTGACTGGACAAATTCTATACTGGCTTTAACAGAGAGCTGGACTAGAAACTTCCAGAAATTCTTCCTAGTCTAAATTATTCTGCAATTCTGCAAAACTTTTAGGTTTATGCAAGTAAGCTACCTACTATACAACCAGTTTTATATTTAATAAGAAATTAATTAAATCCAACCTTCACCCAAGTATTCTGTGATCTAATTCCCTTTCATGTAATATGGAAGGAATTAGATACAAAATCTGGAGACCCCAGATTTTCATATATATCTTTTTTCTGTCTTGGAGAAGTTGAACTTTCAGTTTAAACAGAGGTTTCCATAACAACAAAAATACTTGGCACTTTGTCTCACAGAGTTTTGCTTACTCTGAAAATTAAACCAATAGTAAATAATTAGCTGTAATGATTTCCAAGTTACTGAATTTTGATTGATACAGGAGATGTATTTGAAAAGGTGTGGACTCTGTGTGCACCTCTGGGATGTTGCCATTCAGTGATGTTCTCCTATCTGTGCTGATGCTTATCTAGATATGTGTGAATATGGTTAACTTGAAGCAGCAATCCTGGAAGAAGCAGGGTGAAAAGTTGTTCTGTGTTTCAGGACTGCAGTTAGTACCTAGGGGAACAAGAAAGACTGGATGATGCCCAGTGACATTGTGAAGAAAAATGTTAACCCACCAGATTTTCCCTGTTTCTTACATAGCAACCCGAGATAAACACAAACAAATAGATTGGAGTAGGAGTACACCATGTGACTTGCCTTTTGTAAGCTGTATTGACTACAGCCTTTATTAGCTTGAACAGACATGCTTTTTAATTCATCTGAGACGCTGCAAGCATAAAATAGAAACCATCCTCTTCCCACTTCTGTCTTGGCTCTTCATTCATTTCAGGGAGTAGGAAGAAGTAAACATGTCCCCTTTAATCCTTGGGTTTGAGCCTTATTCAAGCTTGGGTGTCGCTTTTGGCTTCAGTTTCCCCTGTTTCTCTGTTTGTGGTTAAGTCTTCAGCTGTGTTCAGGTTAAAGTATTCTTGTTCAGGTTAAAGGATTCTTACTTGCTTTTAGAATCCTTCTCAGAATGTGCACAAAGTAAAAGCCCTCATTTTGCAACACTTAAGTGATTCAGGTGTCACAAAAAATGCAAAAGAGTTGGACATATACAGCCTTTGCCTCTACTACTGTACCCAAAGCAGCAAGTGCAAGTAACATGTTTTTCTGTAGGCAGTTGCATAGCAGTCCAAAGAAATAGAAACTAAACCAAAACAATGCTTTAATGCGTAGTTGCATTCATGCCAGGCAGCTGGCTTTCACAGTGAGGCCAGCTTGGATGTGATTTCTTTTCACGTTCCTAAAGCTTTGAACTTGTTTTGAGCACTGTTTCAGGTTGGTGAAATTTGATTTTTTAGATAATATATATGGATTTTACTCAGCTTTCCTCACATTGTCAATATTGTTTCTCGCTTCCAGTGTGTGGTTAAGATGAACCTGGTCTTTACTCTCAGACTCAACACTTGCAACAGACCAACTTTCTCTTGGTCAAGAACCATTTTTTCCTGATCAATTCTGCCTTCCCTCCAGCCAGATAACACTTGCTGCCCCTGAAGTGTTTGGTAAGAACAGCTGCAGCAGAGGAACTGAATTCATCCTGAAGCTGTAAGCATGAAATTTTGGGTGGACATAGCTGGAATTTAGCCTCTAGAGGAAGTCTGAGCCTGACCAGGATTTGCAAGGTGTCAGTGAACTTGGGTGTCTGTCAACTGAGCAGTCTGTTTTCAGCAAGGCTAAGAGCTGAATCCTAACAACCCAACTGCAAAGGGTGGCTTCATCTTGCTGTTGCAGCTGAAGGATACTGGCCATCCTCTTAAGGACTGTGGGAGCAGAGGGAGGCTGGAACTCTGTGCTGCAGCTGTAGGTTTTGTCACAGTGAGAGAACATTTTATTTTCTACTGATCAAGTTTTATTCCATTTGTTTCTCCTAGTCAGGTCTAATGGTTTACTTTCTTTCATGTGCCTGCTTTGGTTATGCATAATTTATGGAAGGCTGAAATGAACAAAATGGATTTAAAAAGCTCTTTCGTTCTCTGCTTGGAAAGAAGTTATTCTCAAGATATATAATTTATCAATCTCCTTTGAAATGCCAATACTGCAGGCCTGTTTGTATGCTGAGGACATTGAGTCACAGAATCATAAAATCCTGGACTGGTTTGGTTTGGAAGAGATCTTAAAGCTCATCCAGTTCCAGCCCCCTGACATGGGCAGGGACACCTTCCACTAAAGCAGGTTGCTCCAAATCCTGTCCAAGCTGGCCTTGAACGCTGCCAGGGATGGGGCAGCCACAGCTTCTCTGGGGCAACCTATGCCAGCGCCTCAGCACCCTCAAAGGGAAGAACTTCTTCCCAAGATCTCATCTCAGCCTCCCCTCTGTCAGGTCCCTTGTCCTGTCCCTGCAGGCCTTTGTCCAAAGCCCCTCTCAGGTTTCTTGTAGTCCCTTTAGGCACTGGGAGCTGTTCTAAGGTCTCCCTGGAGCCTTCTCTTTTCCAGGCTGAACCAGCCCAGCTCTCAGCCTGTCTCCAAGCAGAGCTGCTCCAGCCCTTGCAGCATCTCTGTGGCCTCCTCTGGACTTGCTCCAACAGCTCCATGTCCCTCTTGTGTTGTTGCCCCAGAGCTGGAAGCAGGACTGTAAGGGGGGGTGTCTCATGAAAGTAGAGTAGAGGGGGAGAATCTCTCCAACAGCTCCAGATCCCTCTTGTGTTGAGTCCTGTTTGTTTTCAGCTACTCTGTGCAGTCTTATGGGGATGTCTCCTGCTGCGGCTCATTTCAGTCATGACATGCTTTCCTCTTAAAAGACTTTCATCTCCCTTGGTGTCCTTCATTTGTGACTCAGGTGCATGAGGCTTGAATGTAAATGTTGACAGTAAATGTCCCCAAGGAGCTTTGAGGAAACATTTCTGTACTGTCGATGGTGGGCGATGATCTGACTTGACTTAAAAGTTCTGTTTGAAATGCATGCAGTATATTTCTCTAATTATTAACTTGGCATTTGGATAAACCCTACCTATGATAGATCCAAATAGCATAATTTTCAAGCCAGAAATTTCTATTGTTTGGGGCTGCTAAACCAAATCCCTTCAAATTTGGTGTTGCCACAGCTGCAAATTCTTCTCCACCTCCTTTGTTTTCCTTACAAAACCAAACAAAGTCAGAGCATGATGCAAAATGCAACAACCCTGAAGTCTTTCCATTTTGGCAACTCGCTTATCTAACAATTACAAGAGTACTGAAACTCTAGACATTGATGCCAAGACGTTAAAAAGCAACTAGTAATTTTGGAAATCTCTCTTCTGGCAGGTAGAGCAGTCTGGCCACTGCTGTCCAAACCCGTGTACTGCTTGGCGCTGGCTGGTTGTGGATGTTCAGAAGGAATGCAGGGGCTGTAGTCCCCAGAACCCTTTCCCAGCACTTGACAGTATATTGTTAGGCGTTTCTGGAGCACAGAGCTCTGAACAGCTTTGTGTTTTCTGGTTTGTCACACAAGCTTTTCTCATTTCTTCTCGAATCCATGTAACACTCAGCATCTGCAGCATTCTGTGCTAGTGAGGGTGACAGCTTATTTCCATGCTGTGTCAGAAACAATCTTTCTTCTGTTTCTTTTGAAACTACTACAAGATTTTTTCCATATGATTCTCTCTAAATATTGTGTTAAAGAGATGGGAAATAGTTCTTCCCTATTTGGTTTCTCCACTCATATCTGCACTATTTCTTCTTCTGACTGAAGAGCCCTGGCTCAGTAGCTGTTTCTCACACAGAAACTGCTCCATGCCTTTCATTGGTCCTGTCACCACCCTTCTCTGTACCTTCTTCCAGGTCTTCTCTGGGGGAAGATGCTGGAAGACTATAGAGAATCCAGCATCCCAGCTGCCAATGAATTTATTCAGTAACATGAAACTATTTTCTATTTTTGTGGATTTTTTTTTCCTTTCCTTTTCATTCCTATCATCTGAAATGACTTAATGGCTGACACTGAATGTCCAGCTCCATGAATTCTTTTCTAGTTCAGAGATCATTGCTTTCTGTGTAAAAGCTACATTTTATATCTTTACACCTAGCAGTGTTGTTCTGTGTGTGCCATTTTATCACCCCATAATTCAATACTGCAAGAATCTTCTGCAGCTCTTTGTAGTTGGCTTTCGCTTTTATTGCCTTACAGAAGGGAGTGTTATCACCAGACGCCATGTTCTGTCAACTGTTTATGGATCCGTTGAAGTGCAGAGGCCCTGAGTCTCTCAGGAACCCATATGTGGGACATCCAACTTTGACTTCATTTTCTCAAGTTTCGTGATCAGGCTGTTCAGACAAATAGGTCCTCCTGAGCTTGTTTAAGTTTTTTTGGATGCTAATGCCTATCACATTTAAAATCCCTGTGCTTTTACCACCTAAAATTTGCCTTAAAATTTATGTGTGTCTTTCTATTCACTGCACACTACAGTGTTTAAGAGAAATAAGGAAGATTAGCAATATCTTGCTAATTATTCAAGTTTAAGAGCAGCTGAAAAGTAGTGTCAGAGTTCTTCTGAGCGTGGTTCATCCTTTTTGACACCAGGGCTTCATACTCTGCATCGCTTAGTACGCTGACCATTTTAACTGTTTCCTTTTGAGGCAGAACTGGGAGCCCTTTTTTGTAATGCAGACACTGGATTTGTGAGGCTTAATCATAGCATCACAGGCTGGTTTGGGAGGGAAGGGACTTTAAAGCTCATCCAGTTCCAACCCCCTGCCATGGGCGGGGACACCTTCCACTGGAGCAGGTTGCTCCAAGCCCCTGTGTCCAAGCTGCCCTTGAACACTGCCAGGGATGGGGCAGCCCCAGCTTCTCTGGGCAACCTGTGCCAGGGCCTCAGCACCCTCACAGGGAAGAACTTCTTCCTAAGATCCCATCTCAATCCCTCTTCTGTCAGTTTAAAGCCATCCCTGCTTGCCCTGTCAGTATGTGCCCTTGTGAAGTCCCTCTCCTTCACTGAATCTTCTTACATGGTTATGAAAGTACACACTTTTACAGTGCAGAATGGTGTTACTTTGAATTCAAGCAAATGAGCAATATATCATACTATTTAAAATCCAGCAGTTATTAGCCATACAGGATTCACACAAAACCCAGAAAATACTTTGGTTTTTTTTTCCTGTATGTTGCATGCTTTCATTTTCCTCATCTCCATTTTGAATTGAAAAGAAGTTTTTTGCATTCACTGCTTAGCTTCTATGACTGAACTGTAGAACTAATGGAGGCTTTAAGTGATTTTTTGAATCTGGTCCCAGGAAATGATTAAGCTGTTCTCCATAAGTGTGATTTAGTTTTGAGTCACATGAAATACTGGCTGGTCTAAATGAATGAATCGGGGACCTCTAATTGTCTCAGTGGTGGTTCTCCATCTTCGTAAGCAGCAGATTCCTGCTCTGCTAGCTGTAAGAACAGGATATATCTGGCATGTGGCTGAGGAAGGAGGAAGAAGACATCTCTGTAGTGAAAATCCCTCTTCTCAACTCGGAGTCCATATTGTTCTGAAAATGTTACTTCATTTTTTTGTCTTTCTTTCAGGAAGCAGACATTTTTTCAGGAAACCCTGGTTATACTGACCCTGGTATTAAAGTAGGGGAATTCTTAACAGTAACTTCAGGAATAGGGTGAGTAAAGTCATAGATAAGAGTCTCCCAGCAGTATGCATTGTGAATGGATATTTGTTATCACAGTCATTGATGGACCCTAAGACAAAAGTACTTAGGAGGCTAGAGAACACCAGTGTTTTGATGAAGGCATGGTGAAATCTTTTAGGTTCAGGAGGGTAAATACCTGCGGGAGTACTTGCCTCCCCTCCCCTGGGAAAATATCCTTCCTAGAATAGTTTTTTAAGCTGGTTTATATTGAAGTTTTTTTAAAGCTGCCTGATTTGTCCTAGAATTCCTATATTGAGCTTATTATACTTATGCGATTTCAGGTTGTCGAGAGATGAATCACAACAGCAAAGCCTATAACATAGGCAAGCATCCATGGGAAAACAGCGTCCTTGCCTCTTATTTAATCCTTGCCTATTAACTCATGTCCCAGGGGAAGGGAGAGGAAACCCTTCTTATTTTGCACAGTTGTGCAAGGAAAGTTACCCTGCAGTTTTACTGGGAATGCTGTGCAAGGCAGGGGATGCTTCATTTAGGCCAATGTGTAAATGCAAGCAAAGTGGGCATCAGACTTCAGTCATGTCTCAAGGAATCCTGTTGTATATCTGCTGTGTGTTTTAGCTTTTCAAAGCTTTATGCCTACGGAAATGAAGCTGACCCAGAGCAGAGTTCCTCCCCTGACCTCCACTTTGCAGTCTCTTCTCAGGTAAGCAGGAGACTTGCTATATGCCATAACCTCTGCTGCTGACACTTCACTAGGGTGCATGGGTGCACCTTCCCTCTGGTGCAGATTGGGGCTACATGCTCTTCCTTTGTCCTCAGCATGTACCTGTGCCCTGCATCACTGCATCCAAGTGGTGCTCTCCAGTCTCAGCTCACATGTGTGATCAGATATATTCTGCAGTTCCCCCATAAACTCACAGCTCAGCTGTAAAACAGCTGTAATACAATGTCTTGCTGCTCCAGTGCAGTGACTTTGATGTAACAAGCTGTGCACATTTCTGTAGAGCAAAATCCATTGGTTTATATGTTCAAATATGGGTGTTAAAGCACCTGCTCAGGGAAAGATGGGGTGTGTGGAGACACGAAGCTTAAGTGTATGAAGCAGCTGTCTAAAGTCAAGTTTTCTGTGCCCTTGATATTCATGTATCTACATCCAGATGCTCTCTCCCTTTTCTCAGATGGCAGGTGGTGGTGCTCTCCCCCTTTCCTCCAAGCTTATTAATCAAAATCTTGTCATCTAGATGATACAAAAAATTCTATTTTCAACTATAGTTGTATTCTCGACAAGAGCTCTCTCTCTCAGGATGTCCTGTCCTATGTGACTGTTGGTCCCCTCTTCTACTTTAGCTCTACAGATGCATTTGTCCACCAGTGTCTTGTATGTCCTCCAGGTGTATGAGACAACAGCTTAAAAGTACCTGCACATAGAGAATCACTGTATGCAGATACTGTATATGTGTGTTCATTAAATACCTGTTCTCCATCATTGCTTTATAGTAACTCAGTCTTTAACTATAAAATACTCTTGGTCTTTGGTCATACCTAATGCTTATTATTAAAAATAGAAGGAATTAAAAAGAGGTAGCAATTATAAAACCTGTCTCATTACTTTGGGCTAATGAAGTGACTTTCATTCTCTTGGGCCGCTTGCTTTCACAGCGACAGAAAGAAAGAAGAAAGTGGACATGTGAAGCTTCTTCTTCAGCAGTGGTCAGCATATCTAAAACACATGCTAGTCCTTGGCCCTCTTTCCCAGATACCCGGTCAGGTGAGATGCACCAGTCACCTTCTGTGCTTCTGGACTGGATTTCTTGTTGCTGGCACAGAGAAATGAAGTGTGTCATGAAAACGCAGCACTGGCAGGAAGTTAAGTTGCCTAAGAAGGGAAAATGAGTGCTTCTGAGTGCTTGGAGATACTCTAAAATGATCAGACTTGGGTACACTGCTGAGTGAGTGTAAATTTTGTACACTTTCATATCTAATTTTGCATAAATATATGTATGATTGTCTTTGATGTTAGTGGATCAGTTGTGTCAGAGTTCTTGGCCTTGTTGATGTGTTTGTGGGGCTGAGGGATCTTTCTTTCTCTCTCTCTCTCCTTAAGCTTTCTTCTCACTTTCTTACCATTTGTAGAGTTCCCAACTATGGCTGCTGCCACCACATCTCCCCATGGCCTTCGCCTCTTAGTGCCGTCTTTTCCTCTGCGAGCTGCTGTGCCCCCTAGCAGCTCCAGCCTCATCCAGGCAGCAGGACCCCCAGCTGACTATCACTCAGAGTCCGCCGAGTCCATGGATGAGATTCCTGTGGTTCAGACTCGCCTTGGGAGCTCAGCCCTTCATAGGCCTCCTAGAAATAACTCAAGTGACTATGAACACCATCCCTTGTCCACAGATGATCCCAGAGGTGACAGGAAAAAGAAGCTGTCTTCTGGGCGTAAGGTAAAAAGGAAAAGCTGCCAGCATGACAGACACATGGAACAAGACCTGGAACTTTTTGCTAAGGTTCCTGCTGTGTTTGTAAGTAAGAGCAGTGGAGAACTTCATGTCTCTCAGCCCCAACCCAGTGAGAGCACCACAGCCACACCACAGAAAATGCACCAGCCAGCAGCAGATGTGGTCAGACATGATCCATGCGTTAAGGACATAAGGACAAACACCACAGTGGCCTAGTGACCAGCTTTCTAAAGCCATAGCCTTTGGGGATAATGCAAGAGGTTCTCTTTCTATTTGTATGTTGCTGATAAAGATCTTGACTCCAGTGTCTTTTTCCTTGGAGGTAGCAGCGTCGCTTTACCTGATGCTATCCATCTGCCAGCAGAACTAGCTAAGAGGCAATAAAAAGCCTGCTGCGTCATTGCTGCTGGCTGCTGCCTCTTCCTAAGCCAGGAGTGCCCTGAGCCCAGTTCCAATCCCCTCGTCAAGGGGGAACAGTCCCACCCTGATAGGGATGTGGCCAGGGCTGCCACTGGTGAAGGACTGCAGCTTTACTACTCCGTAGAGGGCTAAGGCACTCATCCCTGCACTGTGTGCTTGCCATCAGGCTGCAGTGAGACATTTCTCATCCTGGACCAAAGGAAAGAGGCAATAATGTAGCAAACCTGAGGCAGGCAGGTTGCTAGAGAGAGCTCGATTGCTTCTCAGGTGAAAGAGCTGTATCTTCTGGCCCTCTGCACACTCATACTGCAGTATCTTCCTGAGACAGCGTGTATGGAAGAACGATACTGCATCTCTGGTGTTCCCTGCGCCCTGAAAACTAAATTTCCTATCTGCCTACATGCTGTCAATCTTTAGATCATGTGCAGGGGCTTCAGCAGCTGGTCAAGGAGCAACCTCAGGACTGTCCTGTCCGTATGCCACTTTCCACTGTGCACCCTCAAGCCAAGTCCCCCACCAGCATGGACTCTGTCAGGTCAAGTTTGACCTACTCCACCTTCCCAGCAGCCTGGGCTGCCCCATAGTGCAGCTTTCTCATCAGAAGCTCTGGGATCCAGCAGGTCCTGAAACCTTTCAATTTCCTGGGCTGCCAGATCTGTTTTGAGTTAAGTCTAGTTAGCTGAATTCCTTTAACTGAATTCTTCTGACTGGGTGGTTTTGCGTAGTAGCTTATCGTAGATTGAGGAACTTTCTGGAGCTTTAGGCTGCCACAACCAGTGCTTAGCTGTGTAAGAGACCTATGCAAATTGGAAGATAAAGGAGTTGCATCGATATCAAGTGGCAGCAACTAGAGAAATAAGGCGGAATTTACAGCCCACCTCGAGACAATGAAGAAAAACCCTCAATGGTGGACAAGGAGACCCCAGACCAAAATACACGACTGGATCAAGAGATGCATGCAGGGCACATGAATAGCATGTGGTGGTCAGTGCATAGAATGTAAGGGTATGAAACTCAGGCATTGCTTTGTTCTGGGTCCCCCTCCAAAGGCACCCAGCTCAAGCTGTTCCTATTCCTCTACCACTCAATTATCAAATTATTTTTCTAAGAAACTGATGTCTGAGACTCTGCTGTGGGAAACCCAGGCCAAGGAATTCTCTTTAACAGATCCACATTAGCCCACAGCCTAGTCTGGAGTGCAGAAAAATCCCACTGCAAACACTGGGGCATGCAACCAGTGCCCTGAGTCACAGCACCCAGTGCTGGCAGTGAGGAGCAGGAGCTGTCTGGGCTGCCACACTACAGGGCCTCAGCATTCCCTGCCCTCCTAGCTTCTCCAGGCTGCATACCCCATTCCAAATTCCTGGCTGAGCACTGACGCTGGAGCTGCCAGCAGGTCCAGATCTGCCTAGCAGCAAGCTAATCTCAGAGCCTGGGATAGCAGCTACGTACACATCGTGATGGCATGGGTGTGCTCTACTGATTTGTCACTTGACAGCCATGGCAGCGGCACAGCCCCTGCCTCCCTGGCATGGCCAGATGCACTGTTTCTGGACAGGCCGCTGGTGCTGCACACTCCTGGGGTGTGTGTGAACAGATAGGTGCACCAGCAGAGGAGAGGGAGCCTTTATCACCCTACCAAATCATAGAATACTGGCCTGGTTAGGGTTGGAAGGGACGTTAAAGCTCATCCAGTTTCAAGCCTCTGCAGGGACACCTTCCACTGGAGCAGGTTGCTCCACCCCCCGTCCAACCTGGCCTTGAACACTGCCAGGGATGGGGCAGTCACAGCTTCTCTGGGCAGCCTGTGCCAGTGCCTCAGCACCCTCACAGGGAAGAACTTCTGCCTAAGATCTCATCGCAATCTCCCCTCTGTCAGGTTAAAGCCATTAAATGTTTTGATGCATGAAAACCACAACCAACCCTTTTTCCAGACTCTGGTGAGTGCAGGCTAAGGGCAAGACAGAGTGGGGTGCCATGTGAGTGGAGCTAAGCTGTTCCTCCACTTGCCTAGCTCAGGCTGCTGAGCATTCATCAGAAATAGTTCAGAGCAGGACAGGATAGCTGGTGACAGATGCCCTTTGGACACAGCCAGCACAGGACAGGCAGGCTGGACTCCCAGCCTTGCTGTTGCCCATCATCCCAGTGCTCATGCTGGTTTTTGTGCTGCTCTGAGGTCCCTGCAAAGTCCACTCCCCCTGGAGCTTTATGCCCAGACAGTTTTCCTTCTGGAGAGCCCACTTCAGCAGAGAGAGGCATGAAGGCACCTGCTGTATGTTGAAAGCTTCATTCCGTTCCAGGAGTGCCCCTGGGTGCTGGCAACCAGCCCAGCTCTCTCAGGAAGCATCCCAGCACTGTCACCTGGCTCACACCATGCTGTGTGGTGCTCATGCAGTGGGCATTTCAAGTAGTGCTTGCCTCCGAGGGGAAGGTAGTGCTGCAGCTGCTCCTGGAAACCCCTGATCCTTACAGAGCTGAAGCTGGAGTAGGTGAATCCTCCCTTTGCTAAAGTTTTTATGGGGTATGTGAGGCAGACTGAGCACTCCCTGGGACAGTCCTTCAGGAATTCTGGCAAGGCAGTGGAGGTACAATCAGTGACCCTGGGCTTCTTTAAAGGGCTGTTTTAGTATCCTTCTCTGTTGTCCAATTTTTGACTCCTGTAAGAGTTGGAATGAGGAGCCTTGACTCTTCATTGAATTACATGAGTGAGTGATCAGTGGAAGTGAAGTCTCATGTAGCTGTTGAAGTTATCATGTTTTAATTTGCAGGCAGGTTTGGCCTGTGGTCATACTCCTCATAGCTTCCTTGTTGCTGTGGCTAGTGGTACCTGCTAGCAGTATGACCCAGACATCCACCTGAGAATGGTCTCTGCCCAGCTACAACCAGTGCAGAGCTCCGTGTGCTGCTGGGCTGTGCTGGTTCTGCCCTCAGGCTTCTGCACAAGGAGAGGGAGACCATGATTTTCACTGAAAACCAACAGGATGCCCTGGGGATCCCAATTTGGGAGTTTCTGTGGATAGGGGAGACAGTCTTCTGCTGCCTTCAGCTGAGACATGGAGTATTTTCTCCCCTACAGGCTGTAAAACATGCAGTGCCTTGGCCATTTGCTGGGGTTGCTGAGTCCTGAGTGAAGAACCAGGCCTCAGCAGGACAGGCCAGTGGGACCCTGATCTCCTGAACCTCATGGGCCCTAGGCAGATAATATGTTTGATTTTGGCTGGGTTTTGTGTGTTTGTTTTTTTTTTTTTTTTGGTTTTTTTTTGCCACAACCACATTAAAGGTGCATATTGGGCACCCAAAAGTGAAAATGGTGAGAATGAGATAGGTTTAGCTCCTTGGAAACTTTGCAAGGGCAGTTGCTGAGCTGGTTCATGCTGGGAAGGCCCTTTGCAGATGCTGCTTTGTGATATACACATGCCCTCAGCACTCTGGCTTTGGATGCTGTGAGTTGTACCCTGCAAAGGCATGGAAGTTCTCCATGCCAGAGAACTGGTCACAGCAGGAGCAGGCACAGCCTGGTCTCCCCCCTTCCCTTCCTCATTCCTGTCCTTTTGGGACTCCAATGTAGGTATCCTGCAAGTTCATGTGCCAAGGGCATTTCTGCTGCCCTGGGTGAGGAAGGTCCATAGTAGACCTGTGGCAGCAAGCAAAAGGAACGTGTCACATTGGGATACTGCTGCAAGAGCCAGCGTGCAGGCAGAGTGGTCCTGTCTACCACACCACAGGATTGAAATTACCATGAACTAAACCCTTGCTACAGCCCAAAAGAGAGCTGGATTAAGGTGACAGCAGAAGTCCTGATGCCTTCAGCTCCCCATCACTGCAGAAACATTGAGGTCTGGCATCCCTGAGCACCTTCTCCAGCACTAAATACAAGGTTTTTGCCAGGGCATGAACTCTCCTATCAGCAAAAGGCAGTGCCCTGGACTGGCCGTCTCCACCACGAGATGCTGTGGCTTTTTATTAGGACCAAGCAATGCATTTGCAGGATGGTGACAGCTTTCCAGAGTCCTCTGCAATCATAAATCACAGTCACCAACAGCCATGCCAGGCCTTGCAGTGCCTGCTGTAAGCCTCAGCCTTGTGTGGGATGTCACCTGGCTTGCTTTCATCTTCAGGCCTGATTCGAGCTTCTTCATTTTCTCTTTGAAGTCTAAGGGACCTTCCTTTGGGAACTGCTTTTTGATGAGGCTGTTCCTGCTCTGCTTTTGAGAGCATCCCAAGGGGCTGCCTTGAACTGCAGGAGGGGGTAAAGGAAGCTCCTGCTAGAGCTTTTCCCCCCTCTTCTCTCTGCCCAGCACTGTGCATCCCGAGCTGATCTTGAGCCGATCCTGAGCTGCTGGCACACCTGGCACACGCACACGCACACGCACTGCTCATCTTCTGCAGCTAAGCCCCGTTGATGCCGTGTGGACACACTGTTGCTCTGGTTACTGTATACATATTGCACAACCTCCGAAACACTTCCCTCTGTTTGGTAGCAACTTGTGCTAGAGAAGCAGCGTTCCCGCATAACCTCATCCCACCCCAGTGTGGCTGAGCCAGCAACTCATTCCTGAGATGAGATGACTCTGGGGAGCCTCTGGTGCCCAGCCCCAGGGGAGGCAAGAGACAAAGAGGAGGGAGGGTGAGCACAGAGGGTGCATTGAGGTTGTCCTCTTGTGTGAGCTCTGAGCTGCAAGCTGGAGCAGTCACAGCGCCCCAGCACTCTGTGTGAAGGTGGGGAGATAGGCATGGTCCTAGCAGGGGCAAGCCCAGCATGTGAAGCTGTGTCTCTGTGACACTCAGCTGTGAGC